ACACAGGGTTTCCCTAGTGCGGGGCTATGTTGAGTGTGTGCGTTATTTATAAAAAAAAACATTTTTAAATTCGATGTGAACAGAATATGTTAATAAAACTACCGCATTTTCCTTCAAAACGTTAATTTCTTTGCTATTAAGTCCGTTACACATTATCGCAACATAGATTGAGGGTATCATCTGGCTTTGTAGTTACGTAAAGTAAGACGTCGAATGAAACTCGCACTCTATACGGCATTACCGTGTTTGTCTATATTTTGCCGTGATACCGCCCGATCGTTAACCAAACGTGTATGACCCCACTATCGTAGACGCTCGCGTGCAAAGTATGAAGGTCAACCATCGGTCACCTTGAATACGTCATAACAGCTGATTCGTGGGCGTTTAAGTTTCCGGGGACAACATGTGCAGCAATTGTCAAGGCTGATTGTAGTGGTGGGAGATAGCAATGATCAAAATTATATCTAGTAGTGACAAGTCAATGAGTAGTGAAGTTATTTTTTTCAGTGATACTTCCGCATGAATTTTAGCTCGTAGATGAATGATGGTTTGTTGAAAAGTAAGTCAAACAATACTACTAGGTAGATACACGCAAACTTATTTATCGCGTCATCGTCATTTGGGCAATTTGTTTAAATGTGACGTATTTCCGCACACCGCGCGACGTGGTTCGTGTAGTGACTTACATTGCGGGCGGTGTCAAAATTACTCTCTTTAATTAAAATGATTTATTATCAAAGGATCTATAGGAGTTCCAATTGGACTCCCACTGCTCCAAATTGTTAAAATTAGATGAGCTTACCGAGGCTACAGAAACCACTAGGTAGAAGGTTTCAGGCACCAAAAGATGAGCTATTTCATTAACAATGCTAAAATGAAGGCTATATTAGTGCTTCAGAACGATATCAATAGGAGTATGACGTATATATATGCCTATTTCTTTAGAAGTCTATTTTTTTAGAATTTACTGTGTTTTCCTCGTTTGTAAATGGAACCTTCTTAGCGGGAAGTACACGAAAGGGTATTACAGCGTATAGTAGAGTCAATACACTACAGTGACATAAGAAGACGTCGTGTCATTTCGTTTCAGACTTGAGATTTTTCCAGAACTATTTAGTTCTTAGGCTGTTAAATTAAGTAGTTGAATAGCCAGTTTGGTGGTCGTCCACTAAAATTGTTTAGGGGATCAGAAGGCATTTAAATAGTTTTTAACTACACTAAAACTGGGACATGTTAAACTATCTAGTAGACAATGTCTACATCGTTGCATGATCGACCCTCGCTATGTGGAAGTTCTGCGGAAGCTGTATAGTGCGGCCACGATGCAAGTACGACTACATAAACATACTAAACCCAATACCTATCAAGAGAGGTATGCTACAGGGATATACTATACCACCCAAGCTTTTTTAAACAGTTCTACGTGAAACTACTTACTGCAGCACAAAAGTTCCATGCATGGTACTAGTGGGAATAAATTTAATATTTATGTCTTTATTCCCATTACCTATAATTTATGTATGGACGTAGAGAACACGGTCTCTATAGGAGGATCTTTTTTTTCCACATGTTGACTATAGACTTTTTTATGACGACATTTAAAAAGTTATAAATGAATAAATAAACGTAGGATATAGCAACTTCCCTATTCATTATTACTACATTATATTGTTAATAAATTATGATATTTTTATTTAGTTTTAAAAGCATGGACAATATCTAGCTTTCAATTTCTGTACTTCTTTTATTCAACGCCATACCTCTCTACAAAGGGAGTCGATAATATATATTTTTTATAAAAGTAAAAAAGATATACTTTTTTGTTACATCATGTTAGCAGAGACTACTATTTCTTCTAGTCTGCATTTATTGAAATAAGTTTTAATAGCAGACTCTTTAAAATATTTATTGATAATGAGGTGAATGAATTTCTAAACATCTGATAACATTATTAATGAAACAATATTTACATTGTACATAATATATTTTAACAATAATTACCTAAAATTAACTGAAATGTACCCTGTTTATTTCTAAAATAATCCTTCCAACAATACTCTAACCCTTTAAATATTTCTTTCCTTCAAGTATTTTATATAAATATACCTATACCACCTAAACATAAATATAATAAATAGAGATAAATTAAGTAGAACAAGTATTAAAAAAAATTTGGTTCCAAAATCAAACCGAAACTAAATGGTTGTATAAGAAAGTAGTATGAGAAAGAAAAGTCAAGAGTGAAAATAATTGTATTAATAAGTGAAATTAATAAGTGAAAATAATAAGCGAAAATTACATGGAACGAATGGGAATAAATATGATATTTTTAGGTAATAGGAATAAATATGATATTTTATTGTTCCACGTGGAACTGAGTACATATAATTATTTACTCACTTTGGTATTCACGTACCAACCACTAACTGTTTAGTAGCAGTAGAGCTCCTTGTGAAAGAGTTCGTCCAAATTTACGAATTTTTGCCACCAAGCAGTAATGTGAGCATTATTCTGTTTCGGTTTTGAAGGGTAAGTAAGGGTGCTGGTGAAATTGCAGGCACATGGAACTTGTCAACTTATTTCACCGGATGACAGAACTAAAATCTTTGCGATTTAAAGCTCTGAGTGGCACTGTAACCGCTATGGATAACCCGTTATAAAGAACCGTCGTCAAAAGTTACTTGTTACATTGACGGAGTTTAAACGATGTATGCAAGTACTCAGGGCGACGGTAATGTAATATCGAGTGGCCAAGGTGGCAACAGGCCAGTTTTTTTAAAGTCTGAATCGCTTGTTTATGCCAGTCGCATTTGTATAGTCTAATATGGCCGTATTTAATTATTGTTATAATTAAAGTGCGTTTTCGAATGACTGAAATATTTTTATTGCACATTAGAAATTGCAATACCCCATTGGCTTACAAATAAATGGACGACGGGTCTAATACAAAAACCACGAAAAAAATGTCCCAAGTCAACCTATTTAAACGTGGTGACATGTAAAGGAATATGAAAAAGCTAAAACGTTGAATTTAAATTGTAATGTCATCGCAGTACTGTCTAACTTTGCTTGCTTCGCTGTCAGTCGAACAAACAAATACTAAAGCGTGAATGACGCTCTGTGTACGATTTTAACGCCCTATAAGTTAGGACACTTTTTAGCGCGGACCCGACGTCCATATAATTGTAAGCCAATGCAATACCCCATTTAATTTATTGTAGTTTTTAAATGACAAAAAGAAATCAAGCGAATATACATACAATAGGCAACCTACCTATAATAGCAATTTCATCTAAGCAACCTTAGGGTTGTAATTTAAAAAAGATGAAAAAGCAGTGTCGCCATTTTTGTGGTGCGATGTCCCGATTATATTGTAGAGTAAGTACAGAAGTTAATTACTGCTCAATTTGATAAACAACTAGTAGCTGAAGTTAACAAATCGAAAAGAAATATATAAATATGTTTATAATGTATTACATATATAAAAATAACGGTTTAAGTTTGACAAACGTCTACTTATGCCAAGTCAGGCTGGTATACAGGGTGAAAAAAAATAATAGACTTGAAGGGGAATGTAATATAAGGTAGAAATAAGGTAACCTTTAAAAAACATATGACTGAATGACTGAAGTTATTCATAAAGAAAAAAATGTTTCTTTTAAGTAAAATTAGCTATATTAAGCATTTGAGGTCCCTGTAGATAGATACATGTAATTAAATTAATACCAGCCTAGCCTTAGGTAATTTGTAAGATAATCCAATCAATAACAACAGGTAACAGGGAACATCGTTAGAACACAAAGAAATATTCGATGTGAAACATTTGCAAAGGCCTGCCGAACGTGTCGATCCCTTGGGGCCTGGGCGGTGATGGCCATTTCAGTCATTCTGTTCTCAGATGAGATCTGACTAAGTAATAACCAGTGATTGGAATTGAAGCAGTTAATCGACCTAAAATATAAATATATTTTCTTAATATAGACATATACATTTCGTCATTAATGCGTATAAAATATTTGTTTTCACTGTTTATTTTCTAAGCAGTCCAAAATATAGGTTGTTACATGTTTATTTTTTAAACAGCTAAAGTATTTAAATATGTAAGTACCTATAGAAACACAACTACAATATTATTTTTGAGACAATAATTTGTACCAAATACTTAATAGGAAATAATAATTTGTCGCTAATGTACTCAAATTGTAGTATATATTACAATATATTCAGAAATAGTCAATTCCGAGAAGGCCGGGATATGCAGAAGGTAATGTCCACATTATTCTTTAGTTTAGCCAAATTAACTCCATCAATTCCGATCACTGATAATTACATACATTTATTATTAACGATATCCAGTAAGGGGACGAATATGCTGTGTTAAGCGCACATGGTAAGCAACACGCCTACTCATAACAGTAAAGTTGCGGGGCCACTCTGAGCTGTAAATCGCACAGATCGGAGGGACACTGCCACAGCGTGCGTCACACTTAAACATAAGTTCACAAGTTCCATGTCATTGTAATTTCACCATCACCCTACAAACCGGAACGCAGTAATTCTCATATTACTGCTTGGCAGCGGTAGCGGCTTGAAATAGGTATGGTGGCAGTGCTTCCTTAGACGAGTTCTTATAGGAGGAGCTCTAGTGCTATTTAAAAAATATACACATGTATATAGACGAGATAATTATATTATAAATGTTTTTTTATTATTAAAAAATAAGGACAAATTTGACTTCCTTCTCACCTCATAAAAAGTGACGGTGAAAGTCGACGACGGAGTATGCATACCTAAATCCTACTGTCTGCAGCCTACGCCTGGTTCCCCGATGATGGAAAGCGAAGGCGGAAATAATTCGTGCAAGATAATGTTTATAAGTTACGGCTCAAAATATCAGTTCCGATTCTTTCTCCGGCCACCAGCCTGCAGACATCGCGATACACTTAATTATAGGTTGAAGTGTGTATGTCTTACTTATGTTTTTTTTTCTATTTTCGCAGGGCATGGCATTCTCGATCGAAGAGCGGCAAACGCTGGGAATTCATGGTCTGCTGCCGGCCAGGGTCAAGACTCAGGAAGAGCAGGTCTACATGTGTCAGCTCTCTATCGACAGATACGAAAATCCCCTCAACAAGTACATATATCTTATGGGACTGCTTGTAAGTATCACGCACATATTATTATGTTTTTTTCAAAGGGTTTGCGCGACCTGTTACGCGTCCTAGAGACACGCGGTGTCTCTTACCATTTTGATTCTGGAGCGTCCTAGTGTCATATTGCGTCTGTAACGCGCAACTGTCCTTTTTTTCCTCGCAGTTGTCAGCTTTTTATCCACTTTTTAAAATTTTTAATTTGTAATTTTTTTACCCATGTGTAAAACAACACCAAGATCGTTAGGACACCGTGTGTCTCTAGGACGTGAGACAGGCTAAGCAGGTTCAATAACTCAGTTTGTTCAGCAAATCTGTAATATAATACTCAAAGGGAACTAACACTTAAGCTATCTTCCGTTTTATAAGGTTTCTTGGATATCACAAAGGACCATATGATACGTTCACGTACCTTTAATATGCGGTGTTTCATATATCAGATATTACGAACGGTACTAGGTTTTCGTATGCAAACTTTTAACTTTGCACGAGGATCGCTAAATCTTAAGGCGGATCCACACCTGCGCGCGTGTCGCGTACGCTCACGAACCGTGCACGCCACGCGCCTCCAACGGCAATGGACGTGTTAATCTCAGCGCGCGCATGTCGCGAGCAGAATATGCGCAGTTCGCGTGCATACATAAGTCATTAAGCTATCGTCAGTCAATTAGCCTTTTTGTTGCGTTACACGTAAAACACACGCGAATGTGTCCGTGTGTGCAGACTATGTTCCTAAGATGCACGCGAACTGCACTCTTCATGCACGTGAGCCGGTGTTGATCTGCCCTAAGAGAGCAAACTGGAACTTAGTTTTCTTGTTCTCAAGTTCAAGTAATTTGATAATGATGAAATGTTCGACTAGCTGGCTGCGGTGTGCAAGACTGATGATATCTAGTTTGGTAACTTACATTTAACTAAAGCATTATTATCAAGTAAATTATCACTTGTTAGTTAAGATCTATTGTAATGAGTTTAAGCCCCGTCTGATAAAATTTACAATACAAAATGTAATATAAGTGTCAAATTATACGATATATATGTTAAAAACTTAATGTAAATAACTAAAAATAAATTGTAATTTTTATTATACAAAAACTTATACTAAAAACTTATACAATTGTAACTCGTCCCCCGTAATTGTAAATTGTAAAGTTTATATTGTACGTGACCTTGGTACCAAAGTACAAAACAGATTCAACCTAATTTTACAATTTTTATAAAACATGAAGCTCTCTTATATTCAAATAAGTTTACAATCATAGAGACGATGGAAATAGAGTGACGTCAAACAAAGTGGATTCACGGTGGCGTAACAGTTTCCCTTCACTGTGAAAGGGATCCGCCAGGCATGTTTCCCTTTCATGACGTCACAAGGTCACGAAGCCGTCTCTCGCCCTTCCTGTTTTCGCAAGACATTGTTGTTGGTAAATTAGAATAAAGTACATGTCAATTTAAAATTTAAATACCGTATTAATTCCGGGTCAATGAATGTTCGAAACGGGTTACTAAGAAAATGCTCTCGTTGAAAATTATTCAATGGAAAATGTATGTGTGCGCGAATAAATTGCAATGTGTATACACGGAATTTGCACGAATTTAATGCAAAAAGAAACAAAAGCAGCAGTACAGAAAACGACAAATTTTAGCAAATAGATGTTTTAAATTAATGTGAATGATATCTTTAATATCTGACTAATCGAATTGATTTCATGATCATAGGCGGCTAACAGATTGATGCAGTCAAAACTTTATACAGCCGAGATCTCAACTGCATGACGTTGATAACGACTCCACGCATTAACTGCATGCAGTCGATCTCGGCTGGATGAAGTCGGTTTCGACTGCATGCAGTTAATGCGTGAAGTCGTAAAGAAATTAATGTAGCGCAGACCTTGATAACAACTTCGCGCATTAACTACATGTAGTCGAAACCATGTCGAAACTCAACTGCATGCAACTTCAAGCGTCGAAGTAAACGATAGTCCGAAAATCAAATGTAATAATTGACATTCTTACGAGGATTTATTCGTCGGCTTATTATTATTTTTAGATTTTTATCGCCTTATTATTATTTTTTTGCACCTGAAACCACTTTTTTTAGTAACGGCAAAAGGTGACGATTATTTGAAAATTTAATCAATATAATTATAATGGTAAAACAAAACACGATTGGTGAAACTTCCCTCTACTGATTTATTTTTCACAGATCACCTTTCCGAAATAGATTCGGAAATATATAGATAGAAATAACTTAATTATAACTAAAAACAAATTAAATCGCCGAATGCAGAAAAAAATGTTAATTGACACTTAGTTAATTCGAGCCGTACCTCATCTCAACGTTAAGTTTTGCAATGAACTCCTGAGCCTGATGCATTTCATCTGCATGGAGTTGTATTATACGAACTTCGCATGCAGTTCGTTTAGTAGTAGCCGTTCACACTCAGCTATGCTGTCCACATAGTCGAGAATTAATGCGAATGTAGACCAAATGTGGAAGTAACGAGCTATATTTTCTCAGTCCTATGTGCTGAAAAATACCGAACGCAGTAAGATGCACAGGACACGATCAGTATTATCATCTTCCTATATGCACCCCACTGTAGGGCAGAGGAGAGTTAAGCCATGTCCGTCAATGGCCCAATTCACAAGTCTAGGACGAGTCCGTCTGAGAGGCCTTCTTTGACAATACAATGAGAGATTATATTACATTATCTATGTGAAATTATTATCAAACGCTCGTTAGTTTATATAGATTATTGATGTTATTTACTTTGACGATGTTTTACCACCGTGATATTCAAATATTTTTTTGTGAAATAACTCCACTAGTTTTTAATAATTATTAATACAAAGATCGAACACAAAGAAAAGTTCCTTCAACCCGACACGACTTGAACCTGCGACCACGCTGTACCGTAGTTTCGCTCCGCCAACTGAGTTCCTCAAGATGTTTTCTTTCACCTAAGACAAAACTGCAAACGATTAAAAAATGCTTAAACCAACAAAACGGACTTCCCAAATAGGAGGCAAAAGCGTTCTCGTATCTTATGATCTCGTATCAGTTTCGCGCCTTTCTCTCGGTAGTGTTCGTCAATTTCGGTTCCTACCAACGTGATCTCCACACTAAACTGCTAACACACTTATCTCTCCTAGTCTATCCGCATGGAATAAAATAAATGTGATTTATATTTCAGGATCGCAATGAACATCTTTTCTACCGTTTCGTTGCCGAGAACGTTGAAGAGATGATGCCAATTGTTTATACGCCAACCGTTGGACTGGCGTGTCAAAAATACGGTCTGGTGTACCGCCGACCACGCGGGCTTTTTATCACCATCAATGACAAAGGACATGTTTATGATACGCTTAAAAACTGGTGAGTTGCATTTATAAATTGAACATACTTTTATAAATTGAACTGGATGCCATTAGCGGTCTTACATGGATAATACGACGCCATTGAATTTCTGAGATAGATTCATTAATTCAATGTCGTCGTGTCAATACGATCTGTACGAATGTAGAGGAGTAATAGTTATATAATTACCTGCGGCTTTCATAAGGCCATTAAATGTCAACAGTTACCTGGCTGACTATTTTTTAGGCAATAGCATTGGTTGCTCATTCAAATGAATTGTAGGTAATAAATAGCCTAGGTAATTGTTTCTCGCTCGGTATACTGTTTTGTATAGCGTGTAATATATTTGTCTGGTTTTGATGAGGGTGTCTTTAATGTTTCTCAATTTGGTACAATATGGTAGACTTCTGTTGGGAAGCTTTTATACTATTTGACATATACCACATTTTCATTTACAAAAAAACTGATATCACTAATTTTTTGTACAGACGCCAGCACATCAAGCTACACATTGACGTATTTTGTTCCGTTGCACTTGAGGCGCTTTTCGAAGAACAAATCCAGATCTTCAAATCTTATTTTTGTATCTAGGCCGGAAACTGATGTGCGAGCGATCGTGGTCACGGATGGCGAGCGCATCTTGGGACTTGGTGACTTGGGTGCGTGCGGTATGGGTATCCCCGTCGGCAAGCTAGCGCTCTACACTGCGCTCGCCGGCATCAAGCCGCATCAGTGTCTACCAATCACACTGGGTTTGTAGTATCCCTTGACTGAATTATGAGACGGAAAAGAAAATATTTTTTTCCCTAGAATTGTCGTCATTTTGTGACTCTTTATATATAAATCAGTATATGAGACTAGTGACAATTTTTTCGAAAATGCTATAGTAAATGTGTGTAAATATGACTAACGTCTCTAAGTCTCTAAATAATCAACCTTCTATCTAATTTTCTCTCTACTAGCTCCGTATACTCCAACCAAATTTGATGTAGAATAAATGTCAACAAACAAAATATGTGATTTTTAAGGTTTTCACCTCAGACTGTTTTACTATTACGTACCACAATTTCAAGATTTTTTCCCGAAAATCGATTAGGCTATTGATAATACTAGCCTTGAAGTCAGGTGTGTGATGAATTTCGTTCAATAGAAGTTTCATATCACTAGCATATATGAAACTACAGAAAATTTACCAGTAATTAATTATTTATAAAACTGTGTCATCCCTAATGATTTTTTAATTAGAATGGAGGGATTGCGAACATTCGAGTAAGAGTAGTAATTCATGCTCAGAAACGGAAACTGACGCTGGATAAGATGAAACAAAATTGTAAGATTCTATTTTATATTCGTTTACTATAATGAATATAAAACAGAATCTTACAATTTTGTTTCTTTTCATCTACCGTCATCTACTACCTAGTAGTAAATATTAATGAGATTTAAAACTGTATTCATAAATATACGTGTCAATAGGTACTTTGTAAGCTTTATAATAATTGGTTAGGTAATATTACTTCTGTATAAACCCAATTATCTACTTACAAACAGATCGTGGGCAGAGCTAGCCTAGATAATGGACATTGACAAATAAATGTTCTTTCTATACCATGATTGGGTGCCAAGCGATGTTTTGCTATTCAATATTCTGTGTCGAATTTGGCTAGAGTCTATTCCTTAGATCTTTTCCTTTCGTCCGTTTTGATTTAATCAAACGTATTTTTTCAGATGTGGGCACTAATACCCAAGCCATGTTGGACGATCCACTGTACATTGGTCTTCGCCAGAATCGTGTTCGTGGCGCAGCCTACGACGAATTTATCGACGAGTTCATGCAAGCAGTCGTACGTCGCTATGGGCAGAACTGCCTTATTCAATTCGAGGACTTCGGCAATGCCAATGCCTTTCGGTTGCTCGAGAAGTACAGGGGCAAGTGAGTGATTTTCCATTCATTGATATTAATTGTCAACACACTTGCTCGTAAACATTGTCATGACATGCAGACAAAGTCAACCGTAATGTCCTAAATTATGTCCATGGGCTTTTTCATTACTTTATCGCCTTATGGATTTTTAAGTCGAGGTTAAGCAAAAAGTTTTTGTGCTCGAAAAATCTGAACGTATATTTTGCATAAACTTAAAGTAGGTATACAAAAACTAAACATTTACAATTTAACTATATTTTACTGGATTTATTTTGTGAATTCAAATTCCACAGTATTTGAAAACATTGGGAAGTTATTTATTTTATTTGTTATTGCGGCTGCATGCGCTTTTACCTTTTATTATTTAGTTCGAGTTGTAATATCTATGGAAGAACAGCTGGCGATCTGTTTAAAGAAAATACAAAAAACCCGCCGTTTGCATAATCCGTAAATGTTGTGTTGTGAAGCGATATTTATTTATACAAGAAATCAATTATCATTGTATCTATTTCCTCGCAAATGTGATGAAAAACATTAAATGTAGCACGGGCGGTAAAAATTACAAATTTCGGGTCAATAAAGCCTTTTCACCCTTCGGCTTCGAGCTTCTAACAAGCTCTCGTTACTCATTTCTTATTTACCGCCCTATATCAGATCAGAATAATAATGTACTGTTGTTATTCTGATCTAATTACAATTGCTAAGATAACGTGCTTGGGTATTTATAATACGCCGTATGACGTGTGTCTAATACAAAGTGGTTTGCTGCAGATACTGCACATTCAACGACGACATTCAGGGCACCGCAGCCGTGGCCGTGGCGGGCCTGCTCGCCAGTCTGCGCATCACAAAAAAGAAACTTTCCGAAAACGTCATTGTCTTCCAGGGCGCTGGAGAGGTGAGAAGGGGCTTCGTAATCTTTATAATTAAATTGTTATTATAATAAAATTATAATTACGAAGCGTTCCCTCAACATGCATGAAGTTACACTTTTGTTAAATTGATTTTGAAGTGGTAGTGTAATGTGTAGTTTTTTTGGCGTATATTGATAGAGTCGGCGGACTAAAGCACATAAGTCAAATTCTTTGTTTCAACTTAAATTGTAATGGCGTCTTTTTCAACCTTGTCATTCTCTTCACATTTTCCGACATTATAAACAACATACAAAATATTTATTATTATTTAAAAATGAAGCAATTTTTTAAAATATGCGCTTAAGTCTGACGACTCTTAGATTTATTTTACTTCCGCACAGAAGCAGGTCATATTTTTAGTTTGATTGTACTTGCTATTTAATTAATTACTATTATTAATTGAGTTCTTAGGTTTTCGCGATTGTAATTCATTGGAAATGAAATTATTTTTTCGCGGATATAAATCGCGTATATTTATTTTTTAAAACAAAGCAACGTTTCGACCCCTTTACAGGTTCAATGGTCAATAATAAAATAAGAATAAAATAGTTTTACTATTAATAATAATATTGTGATTGAGGCTATCAGCGCAAAAGTGCTGTAACCCACATGTAACATACAACTTTAGTTATACAATATTAATATATTACACAATATATATTAAATTACACTAAAGTACATAATTATTGTATATTTGGATGCTATTTTCACGTATAAAATAGTGTTATTATATGTTGGTCATATGTATATGATTACTTTATATCAAATGAATTTGGTTAACTATAAATCACCCATTATAATCTACTTCTATATGCATTTCATGGGGTTACACCACTTTTGCGCTGATAGCCTCAATTATGAATATTATTATTAATACTGACAAGGCACAATGTTCGTAGGCTGCATTGGGCATCGCGGGTCTATGCGTGATGGCGATGAAGCAAGAGGGCGTCAGCGACGCCGACGCGCGCAGTCGCATCTGGATGGTGGACTCGAAAGGGCTTATTGTGAAGGACCGGCCCGAGGGTGGGCTCACCGAGCACAAGGAGAAGTTCGCAAGGACGCATCCACCCGTTCGCAGCCTCGAGGAAGTTGTCAACATCGCCAAGCCGTCTGTCCTCATTGGTGAAAATAATAATATCAACATTCTAAATACAAAATATTTTATTTTTCAAAGTTAAAGTCAAGGATCATTATTCCATACGTAAAATAAATGTACACTTGAAAACGTCACATTTACATTACATTACATTAAGCGTAGTGAACGAGCAGTATCTCGTTCACTACGCTGACCTCCCTGAGAAGAACGAGGAAGAAACTCTAGGGATTGCTCTTTTCAAATTAACTTAAATGCTATGGAATACACTTTGAATCAAATTTGTGTGGATTCTGGAGCCGTGTCGTCTTTCCATACATGTTTATCTAACACGTAGTCTTCAATTTTGTAATATGACTTTTAAATCAAAATATTTTTAATGTAGTTTTTAAACCTAGGAAATGATAATCTTACATATATACATATACTCCGGAATCTTATTGTAAAAACGTATACAGTTCCCTATAAAAGAGTCGTTTACCTTGGTTAAACGAAATCGTGGTACCATGAGTTTGGACTTGGCTCTAAGGTTTTATTATTATGGATATCTTCTTTCTTTTTGAAATTATGTATATTTTTACGGGCATATAAAATATTTGAATAAATATACTGTGATGCCACAGTCATGATACCAGTCTCCTTAAACTTTTCTCTGAGAGAAACCAGAGAGCCTAGACGGTACACAGAACGAAACGCTCGTTTTTGCAATACAAATATGGTTTGAATATCTGCCGCTTTACCCCACATGAGAATGCCGTAGGACATTATATTATGGAAATAACTAAAATAAACTAGTCTATCAGTACTAACATCGGTAAGCTCACGTATTCTGCGGACTGCGTATGCAGCGGAGCTTAATCTGTTGGCCAGGGAAGATATATATGGAAACCATTGAAGTTTCCTATCTAAGGTCACCCCCAAGAAGACTGCTTTATTAACAAGGTCTAACTTTTCTCCGTTTCTATGCTTGGACTAGTCGATTTTACGTTAGGTACTTAATTCAAATTTAACACATTTCGTCTTCTTGGCATTAAGCAATGAATTGTTAGCATTAAACCAATAAACTACCTTAGAGAGGGTATCATTAATATGGCCGTAGTTAATATCATGTTTGTCTGTTTTAAAAATCAATGATGTGTCATCAGTATACAATACTATTTCGCAATGGTCCTTAACAAAGAATGGCAGATCGTTAAAATAAATTAGAAATAAGAAAGGTCCAAGTATTGAGTCCTGCGGAACACCCATTTTTACCGGAGAACCCAAAGAAGTCAGTCCATTTCATAAGTAAACAGATAACATTAAGGTTCAATTTGCATTACGGCGGACCGGAAGCGAAATTCGCCTCGCTGCTGCGCGAGAAGGAGCGCGCTGTCGCAGGAATTCTCGAGCATTCCCAAGAATTCCCACGACTGCGCCTTAGTAGGTGTTCAGTTGTTTAGTCTAGATCTTCTGGCAAAAGTGATGGATGTGGATATTGTTTTTATTCTGCTTATTTGTGAAGTAGAAGAAGTAGAAGAAGAGAAAAGAAAAGAAAGGAGAAAAGATACTTGGGTTCATGATCTGTCGAAAACTTTTTGGACAACATGAAAAATTTTCACAAAGTTTTATACTCTATCCACCTATTTTATGATTTTTTCCTATGTAGTATCCTTAGGGTTTTTGTCGCTAAAGTTTCTAGCCTTTACACAGTAAACTTTTTACCTGAATGCATGTTTCTTCTGTCTCGGTACGTACACAACCTATTTCGAGGACGCTTAACGTTGCTGCGGATTTGCTCGGCGTCGCCGACGGCAGCTGCGGAATTTTCGATTGTGAATGCGCGTGTATTCTCGAGCATGCGCGAGAATTCTGCGGAAAACGCGCAACTTGTTTTTTTTAGCTCGTATATAGTTTATAAGTTACACAATTGACCATAAACGTCATTATGCTACGTACAATATCGTTAAAAAAAAATTCGCTACCATTCCGTTCCGCGGTAATGTAAAGTGAGCCTAAACCAATTACTCATTATTATGGCAGATTCCTCTGAAAATGAATCAGAAACTCAGCGACCCGAGTTTCTGATTTCATTCATTTGTAAATAGATAGTAATTTAATTGTAAATGGTAAAAGTTAATTTTTTATTGAATGACATTGCATGTATGCATTGAACCTTTAAAGAATTGCGGTTTTGTGATGACGACTGTCAAATACCTACCTATTAAGAACAACTCTGCCGCCGTTACTTGGAAGGGCGCTTGTGACAAAAACTCAAAACCGAAAAAATAATGTTTATAGAAATGAAATTTTAAAAATATCTACTTTTCTCTTGCGGTAACTTCATACCTTATCCACTTAGGAAAAAAATAAAACTAGTGAAAGATTGGTCGTTTTTTTCTGATCACGGCAGTATAACAATTTATTTGAAAATATGTCACATGCGCTCTTTCAACTAACGGCGGCAGAAATGCCAATTTTTGTTACTCATAATTAACACCATCAATATCTATTTTTATTAAAAAAAAAATCTGTATTTACACAGTAATTAAAAATGTTCAAAAAAAGGAAAACAATCCCATAAATAAGCATTGATTGATAGGAGCGAAACATAAGCTCTATAGTTTGGTATTAAAAAAGTGAGCGGTTGTAAAAACATAATTCTGTATCAACAGGCGCGGCGGCAATCGGCGGCGCGTTCACATCGGCGATCCTGCGAAAAATGGGCGAGCTGAACGATCGTCCCATCATCTTCGCACTGTCCAACCCCACCAGCAAGGCCGAGTGCACCGCAGAGGATGCTTACTCGAACACCGATGTAAGCTTGTTGTACCCATTATTTAATTTTTATTGAATATCATGATGTTTTTACTGATTTTGTGGAAACACTCCACTAGTTTGTTATTATTATTGATACACTAGTTTGATATTATTATTGATACAAAGATGGAACAAACGTTCCATCTTTGTATCAATAATAATAAGAAACTACTTCTTTGCGTTTGCAAAGAAAAATTCCTTCAATCCAACTGGACTCGAACCAGTATCTGTTGCCTCTGCCAACTGTGTTACGAGTCGAGCCAGTCGATCTTACGAATTTCTCTGTGCTTTTTGCGGATCTTTGTATTGAGATTAAACGGTGTTTTTGCTTTAACGCCATCTGTGGCAACTTATTCGTAAGTTCTCTTCAGCCAGGTACCTTTACAGCTACCAGAAGACTGTTGTGTATATTTTACGCGTGTTTTTCCATTATCTAAATGATCTAATATACTTTCTGATACGTGACTGTCTTGGCCGAGTCATGAGAGATGCACGTTGTTTTTGCTTGGGTTTTTTCTAACAACCATTTTTTATGTGGCGTAAACTTCTTGTTCTTGTGCAGGACCGCGCGATCTTTGCGTCCGGCTCTCCGTTCCCGACGTACCGCACGAAGGACGGACGCATACTAACGCCAGGGCAAGGCAACAACTCTTACATCTTTCCCGGGCTAGCGCTTGGAATCATCTGCGCTGGCATTATTGACATCAGCGAGGATTTCATGCTGCTGGCTGCAGAGGTTTGTTTTAAATGTGAAATCCACCCTTCAATACAGCTATTCAAATGTAAAGGGTTTATAACTGTAGCCTTTCAAACAATTCGCTATTTTGCATTACAGGCATTAGCAGAGATCGTGAGCCAGGAGGATTTGGACAGCGGCAGCCTGTATCCCCCTCTCAAGGACATCAAGAATTGCTCAGTCAAGATCGCGAAGAAAGTCATCGAGTACGCTTACAAGACGAGTATGTACAGTTTTCCTTAAGCCTCAGTTCTTTATACTCCCTGAACTTTGTAGTCAACCATTGCGTTTTTTTTTGTTATAATATCAAGTGACGCGACGAACAAGTCGTGCGCCTGATGGTAAGCTACACGCCTGTCCCCAACAGTTGCAGTGCCACTCGGAGCATTAAATCGCAAAGATCTGAGCGGCACTGACACTGCGCCCTTCACTGTGAGATTTAAGTTGACAAGTCCCATGTGCCTGTAATTTCACCAGCACTCTTACCTTTCAAAATGAGAACACAGTAATGCTGACATTCTCTTTCACAAGGAGCTCTACTGCTACTACTGAGTGCGAGTGTTTGAGCAAAACAAAACAACGGAAGAGATGGGATAGCGTTAATTTTTATTCGTGATATGCATTTGATAATTATGGACAGAATTTATTTTTCAAGACGTTAAGTGCCGTAACCTTTCAGAAAATATTAAGTGAGAGCTATTTTTTGCTTGCAGACAAGGCATCAGTCTACCCGCAGCCACAAGACACGGAGGCGTTCATCCGCGCGCAGATGTACGACGTGCGGTACGGCGCGGCCGTGCCCCCCGTCTATTCGTGGCCCACTAACGGCCCACGCGCAGACCTCATCTAGCCTCGACGCCTCTCCACGCCCGTTCTGTGATACGCTAGACCCTGTTAACGCTTGATTCGTAACTAAATTATTCGTCTTCATATAGCTGATGGTAGAGAGCCGCGCCTAGGTCCGTTGCTGTGGGTGGTTAAAGCTCCTACCATGAGCGAATCTGAAAGCGAGTTTGTAATCAGCAGAAACCCTAGTTCTTTTATAAATTACGACGCATTTTTCATTCCCTAAGCTGTTTCTGAAACAGTTGCTTTTAAAAAATTTGGGGTTCACCATTCTTTGTGTTCAAAACTAATTTTAAGAACTCTCGAATGTTCAAGCGCTTACATTGTTTAGTATTGTTTTTGACTAGGTCTTGATTCAATTGCTGTTCTTGTTGCTCTAGCTAGTGCCTAACATCATATAACGAAATAGAAGTAGTTGAATTACGACCGAGAAAGAATTAATTTAGGACTTTCATAATTATTTTATTGAAAGGGATCGTACCAATTTTCATCTTTCGATTTTCTAGTAAGTAAAATAAATAATACTTCCGAACCGTAACAATTCATCCGCATTTTATAATCCTGCCAATATATCATGTAAGTACTGTATTTAGCATTCCAAAAGTTTGTAAATGTGTGAATAATCAAATGTAAAAAAGTGAAATTAATTAGGTTTACGTAAATCGTACTTAAATTGGTTTCCGTTTATTTATTGCTTGTATTCATAGTTTAAATCATTAGTTATCAATATAGTGAACAACAACTTTTAACCGTGTGAAAAGGTGAACATTTTGATATTAGTTATAATTTTTACGACAAATGGCAACTCAATGGTTTATGAAACAACTGTGGTCACATTAAAGCTGTATTTTTTTGAAATTTTGTTTTATAAGAATTTTCATACTTGTGGTATTTGTAATAACAACTTTGAAATATATCGATATGATGACATTCACTGGTTTTAATTAGCTACTGCTATGAATTAGGGGACAACCATTGACTTAGTAAGTCAATGGGGACAACTCATAGTTTTCTTTAAGGCTCAATTTACATTGCGGCGGCAAGGAATGGAAGCGTCAATTTCGCCTCGCCACACGAGAAGGGGCGCGCGATCTCTGGAATGGTCGAGCACTTCTTGCGCGCCTTGAGACTAGTATTTTGTCGACGTTTGACGTCACACTGCGCCTGCCTTCGCGCCACTCCGCGGATTCGCCAGCTGCGAAAGCATTCTCGAGCATGCGTGAGAATTCAGTGGAAGACGCGCGACGCGATTTTTGGCTCGTTTCTAGTTACACAATTGAACATTTAGTTCATTACGCCGTGTTGGTATAACATCCGCCGCAATATAAATGGAGCCTAATTAACGCACGCTGCACCCATGCGAACAGATCGCACTTCATCAATTGATCAACTTCTTAATTCGATCGAATTAAAATGCAATCTTCTAAATCTTTAATTAGTCAATTTCTATAAATCTGTCACACTTTCTACAATTGGTCAGTACCTTTAAGTTCTTACCAAGGCAAGCCGTATCCTACTTGAATAAGTAGCCAACCACAATATTAATTAAATATTAATAATCGATTTTGTGTAATAAACAAACTCGTGTAATTTCAACAGTAGTAGTTTCTCTTACTACCTACTGATGTGGTTGTCACGTATGAATGTTGTATGTACGTTCCTTCCGAACTAGATCCTATTTAAATAGCGATAACATTCAATCATAGTTATGTAATTAGACAATTATTCAACAATGGAGTTACTATAAATAGCTACAGTAGTAGTAGAGCTCCTTGTGAGAGTTCATCCAGGGAAGTACTGCCTATTATTTTTGGAAACTAAAATAAAATTAAGTATTGGAAACTATTAAACGAAGTTAAATAAACAATTTCTTTATTCAATCACAAATTTAAATTATAAACTTGAAAATTAAAATACCTTTTTTGAAACACAAATAATCAAACATTGTAAAAATGTATGTGTATCATGTCCGAAAGTAATAATTGGTAATCATTTTCCTTGCAGTGTTTCACAAATCGGGCCGAATATTCGGTATTCGATAGCAAATATACTTATTCGTATTCGTTGCAGCAAAGCAGCATATAAGATTGCTCAGGCCACACATAGGCGGGTGTGGAGGCGTTCCGGGCGCGGGAATGTTTGTAATGTACGAGTTTATATGAAACCTGCCACATTACAAACATTCCCGCGCCCGCCTGTGTGGCCAGAGCATAATAATCATGTATTCTCAATCAACTAGGTCAGCGGCTGGTGACGTCACCATTGGCATCCCACAGGGATCTGCCCTAGGTAATACACTATTCCTGGCGTTCATCAATGATCTGCCATACTTTATATCAGGGGTCTTGTGGTTCTATTTGCGGACGATACAACCGTTATGGTGTGTGCTAAAACCTACAACGAGTTGGAAGAAAAATTAGCCTGCACGTATGAGCAGCTGTGTGAGTGGTTCTCTGCGAATGGACTTATTCTTAACGAATCGAAATCAAACCTTATGTTGTTCTCAGGAAGAAATTCTATAACAAAGCCAATTATCACCTCCATTGTTCCATTATGTAACACCTGTAAATTCTTGGGTTTAACGCTAGACTCAAATTTGAACTGGAAGTCACATATACAAACTATGTCAAAAACTTGGAAGTGCTGCATACGCACTGAGAAATCTGCGTCCTCTTTTCTCCAATGTGGTATTGAGGCAGACGTATTATGCATATTTTCATTCGTTGATGTCTTATGGCATCACACTGTGGGGTAATTCAACTGAGTCGATTAGGGTATTTATTCTTCAAAAACGTGCACTAAGAACAATAGTAGGCATAAAAAAGGGTCAGACCTGCAGAAACCTTTTTAAGAAATACAATACAATGACCATGTACTCACAATATATTTATAATATAATAGTTTATGCGCGTCAAAACTTGGCTACTTATGAGCGACGTACGGGCGGAGGCCGAGCGTTACGAAACGCGGGAACACTAAAATCCGTTGCCCACCGTACCGAACTTGCAACTAGAAATCCGCGGGTAATAGGTCCCCGATTCTACGAACATCTATCCACAGACCTGAAAAGTGTTAGAAACGATGAAACGTTTTGTACCCGACTAAAAATCCTTTTATTGGATATTGAATTGTACAGTGTCGATGAGTCTTTTGAAACAATTTTAATTTTATTTTATTCGACAAGCAGTAGTTATACTACTTTATTTTATATTCATTATTATTATTATAATTTTATTACTGACGATCATAGTTATCCCTTGACATTGTATTTCCAATTGTAATATTGTGACATTGATAACATGAAATAAACGATTCTATTCTATTCTATTATTACATCACAAGTTTCCTCATTTTAAAAACAGGTCCAAAACCCTTTCAAGTACTTTTTATTTATTACAAAAAAAAATACGTATTTGACCTCTATCTCACCTGATGGAAACTCGCGATGAGGTTGACGATATTGCATGCACACCTGAATAATGCTTATTCACTGGTGGTTCAAACGCTAACCGCGAAGTCAAGAAAATGGAAAGAAAAATTTAATGAATGATATAAAATAAAATAAATGGTTTTCTCAATTTAGATATTTTAATGTCGTGGATACCAATTACGCCGCTAGACGTCACTGCTGCTGAAGAATAGTTCATGGGCGGGGAACGAAAACTTGTCTCGTGCTGTTGTGGAAAAATTAGTTTTATTTACATAAAAGAAAACAGACATCTCGCATAACAATTATATATGTATTTGTTACTGATGCATATCATAAATGTACATTAAATTCGCTATTACACAGAATCGGCGCGAACAAAAAAATAAAAGAGACCGCTACTGAGACCGACAGTCTTTATTTTCGAATAATATTTAATTTATAAATACAAATTGAGAAGTACCGATTCACAACAAAACATAACCTAGATTACAGTGTTCGACAAACAATGATCACTTATCACTTCATTAGGACTGTACACGGGCGGGGGGCGTACCCCCTCGAGGGGCTGGAGCGCGCAGGGGCCGCGGCGGCCGGCGAGGGCGCGCCTCACCTGCTCAGCGAGTGCGAGCGCTCGCGCGACCCCGACCCCGAGCCCTCCCCGTTGCACCGCGCGCGGTCATTGCCTGCAAAACACGCACCGTCACTTCTCCGCGCCTTCGCGTACCTCACTTTCTATAACAACATTCACCCGCCGGTTGAGTCGCACGGGCCGTTATCCAGTACTGGGCGCCTACCGTGCAGTTTACAGCGACATTGTTATACATATATCGTCGGCGGTTTGTAGACAGGGCGTCAGCGATATTTCGAAACATGTCAGTTCTTTGAAAATTTGACAAAAATTGAATTTTAATACAGGAAGTATGCTTTACCTATAGGGCTAGCACGACAGGGCGCAACTTGCGCGAGAGCGACATAAAGCGCGTGGCATTGCTATTATCTTTCGCGTTTTATGTCGCTCTCGCGCAAGTTGCGCCGTGCCATGCATTATCTCAAAAATTTTACGAAACAGTGCATACGACCTTTCTTCAAAACACCGACGATATGTTTGTGTACAAAACGTTACTACTAGGAATTGCCAGCGCCTTGAAAAATTTGCCATACAAAATTGAGCATCAACTGTCACTTTAAACTTCATAGTAGATGGGTCTGGTCTCCTATTAAACGTTGCAGAATATTACAGCGCGACCCGTGAGATTCCACCCGCGTCCGCGTCTTATCAGCATAAAACTATGAGCTTCCAACAAAATTTAGAAAAAGAAAAATGAATGTTACGTATGTTACATACAATATACAGAATCGAAGCGAAATAAATAGCACACTGACAACACAATATCAAACGAAATCGTAATAATATCATGTCGCACTATGTGTTTAGGTAAATAATTAAAATCAGGTAAAAGCTTATGTAAGCGTCTACAGATAAAGAGGCCTGACCTAAGAAATGATGGCCTTGTATACTGGGGTCCTATAACAAAACATTTCACATCATAACACTGGCGACACTTCAGGACGCATAAGTATAATCGCCTAATCAAAATGTTAAAAGGGTGAAATTTATATTTGCACAATATGCTTTTGGACAGTAATAACTGCTTTAAACTTAATTTAATTTGATATTTATACATTATTACATTAGCCTCATTATGTCATCATGTGTTTTTAAGACATACGTATTTAAGAAAACAATACTTTTAAACTGTGAAAATCTTACCAGCATTGTGCCTACTTGAAATATGGCTTAATATTAATCGACGGGGACAGACTTGGTAAAGTAAGAAACATACAGAAAGATCATTATTAGTACGTACCGAGCCGCTGATGTGGAGGCAATTTGCTAAAGAAGGGGTGTTTAAGCGCCTCACGCAGCGTTATACGTTGCGCTGGCTCGTACTCTAGCATGCGCGCTATCAGGTCAAACAGCTGCCGCTGCTCTTCGCTGTTACCTTGCATGTACCTCTGCAAAAATACGATATTCATTTGTACCACTGTTAAGAAGTAAGATTGGTAAAGATTGGACTCGATTGCAGGGAGTCAAGAAAGTGCTAGAATGCTAGAAAGTGCCCTGAGCCTGTACGGCAGCATGCATCTACAAGATTCGGTTCATATACACAGGAGGATTGATAGGCCTATAAAAAGGTGTACGTTTGTCGCAAAGGTTCGACAGTGTTCTGATCTTACCTTAATACCGTTAGAAAAAGGGTGAGTGACTTTGTAAGTAAAATTGTTTAATTTCGAATTCAATAACTACTTAGATGGTACTTGCCACTACATATTGCTGTAGTTTTTACTTGTGATAAGTAACATGTCATCCATAATTACATATTTTAGTTTGCTCTAAGGGACGCCTCAAATTGCAGCAGCCAGGGTACGCAATGCTAAATTTTACTAAATTTTCTACAAGCTTACATTTTTTAAGCAAAATATGAAAAAAAAAGATACAGCAAGCGGCGCCGAACTGCGTAGCGCGCTCTTTGAAGAATGCAATATAATATAGAAGTACAACTTATTCTCTAGTCAATAAATTTACTTAAATTATATTCTCGTTATACTGTAGTGTACATTTCTTTGTATGCAAAATAACAAAAAGCGTGAGACGCAGCGAGGTGCAGCAGCTGGTGCCGTAATGGGAAGTGTAACATCCTCTGTGTTTAGTACAAACGAAGTTCTACATTGCATTGTACTAATTTTAAAGATAGATCTAAAATCGAATATGAAAAAAGATTTGTTAGTATTTTTAGTTATCTGCTATCTGTAAACGTGACCTACATAGATCCAAATCCGAATATGACGGCGCGTGTACACGTTAAGAAAAGTCGCTGGGTCTATGTAAGAATTCGTTGTTTCTACACATGAACTCGAGCGCCGGACAAGAAAAAAAATCTTGTCTACCCCCGGCGGCTCGACGCACTCTGCCGTTATTGTATGGGGCGCATTGTCAGTAAACGAACGTTTATGCGCGTGGACATTTGTTGCAAAGTATCACTGTTGCACCACTAGCGACTAATAAAATGCATGATTTACTTATAAGTTTAGTAGAGGAACGACCCGTATTGTGGGACAAAACCTTAGAGATTTATAAACGACGTACTTTTGAGGCATGGAGAGAAATATCTATTATTCTATACATATAATTTGCAATCACCATTTTTTTTTTTCAATTAGTAATCAACACATTTCTTCACACAGTCGGTAATAAAACGACAGCTACCTGGAAGTGCGCTGACACGTTTACCCTACACACGTCTGCCCGAAAGCATTCGTATCGTGTACATACTGATCATTTTCTTGTCTGCAACAGCACGACATATTTTCGTGGCTAGATCCGACAAAATTCTTGTCGTGGGCCATTCTCGTCTTTTCTGTTGCAGACACGACGAATTTCTTAGCGTGTACACACGCCGTAACGGGTCGGAATATCTTAACAAAGCGTATTACAGATTCTGCCTTTTCTCAGTGGATTAGCACATTGTAAGTAAACTTTCATGTCAATATTGTAACTTACTAATAGTGGTTTGCAGTTTTCTCTGACGTATCTACCCGCGGATGATTTTTCGTCCCAATTTAATTTGCCGTGGTAGAAGTATTTTGTTCTCGTTTTACGTGCCATTCTGAAATTATACAAATTCAATTGTTAATAGAAACCAAAACATTATGTAGTTAGGCATTTAAATTTTTACGCCTTTAACGTGGATTACAAGATTAATTTTCAAAGCAATTCATTTTGTTCTTCCAAGGAGTGAATAAGCCATAATTGTTGATCAGTCCAGGTTGGCGGTTCCAGATGTCACAGAAGAGATTTACCATTTTATAACAAAAACTACTAATACTAGGTTTGGTGCAATCGTAGCTACATGGCGAACAAGCCAAGGGTTCACAAACAGGTATATTAATACTTTATGTCAAATTACTTTCATCTTAACTAATTTAAGCCGCACCTTGGTCACGTAATGGTTAAAATATTAGGTATCCTCTCGCGCAAATCGTTTATGGTTAAGTGCGTTGAGGTAGTACGGCCCGCAGCTGTAGCGTACGCAAGCGCCCCGCACTTCTCTCACCACGCGAGAGACCTGCGCGATCGCTCAACCGTTAGTACGTTAAAACTGTGGCATGTATTAAAAACCTTCTCAGAATGTGCTATTGGCTCACGATGTGTTACTTTACCGATGAAGCGAGTGATAATTAGTAATCCAATCATTTATATTAATAGTCAGTATATTTTATGTGTGATACCTGTAAGGGATAGGGCCTAGGATGCGCTCCATCATTGCGAGGTGCTCGCGGTTGTCGTGTGTTTGAAAAAGTGTGATGCCCAAGTGTAGCTCGAACATGATGCAACCGATAGACCATACGTCGCAAGGCTGCGACCAACCTAATTCTGCAATTTATAATTTCATCTATTAATACTTATAATTTATAAACCAGCGTATTGAACGGGTATTGTATAATCAAGTCTCTACCTTAACGTGTTGATAACTGAACGTGTCTCCTCTAATAATTAGGCTATAGTCGGGAAGGGTGCCGAGTGCGACGAATGCAGACTTCACGTGAATCAAAAAGTTTTGATTCAAAAAGATTAATAATTATATCAATTGGATTTTTCTTAAATTGTACTACTGGGAATAAACGATTTTATTTAATTTTTTCATTTGATGTTTCGTCATTCGAATGCGTGAGTGAACAAATTATTGCACGACTGCATACATAACAAATATGACAACTGTGTATGCCGCGAATGGATCACAGTGAGTCAAAAAGATGTAACACCTTTATAACCGGTGTATCACAAAAAAAAGTTGAATTTGACTATACGAAACTTGAACAAGAATGATAGCGTACCTAATATGACCTCAGGCGCGCGATAGTGCCTCGTGGAAACGATGGTGCTGTGGTGTTCGTGGTCGAAAGTGGCGCTGCCGAAGTCGATGAGCCGTACATCGCTGCGCTTCACGCGCCGTAGGTCATGCTTCTGCACCAAGAACAACAAAGTCAGACTTCTTCACAATTAGCGACAAGTGGGACAAATCAAAATGATCAGAAGGAAATCGGAATGTTCCGCTGTTCTCGACTAGTAGTAGATAAATGTTGTTTAGGATATTTTTTAGACAATTTTTTATATGCTACCAATAACAAAAAATGTGCTACAATTATGATACTAACAACTATCCACAGTTTTAGCAATATTCGTCCACATTCACACATGTTCTACTACTGCAATACAACTCAGGTAACAGGAAACGTTCTAGAAAAACTTGGGCTTCGAAAACGTGCATACAATAAGCTATAATTGCAACATTAGTCCAATACATGCAACAGGACGTTTTATAGGGAGTTACAATGTATTTTACACTGTTTACACTCCGCACACATACATAATACGATTTTAGCCATTGCAATTCAATCATTCCATTATTTGCAAATACAAAATCGCTTCAATATTAAATAAGCATTCATCCAATTTTTTTCCAAACATGTTACAACACGTTAGTAAGCAAAATAAGGTCACCGAAGCAAACGTCCCGAATAGAACTTCTTCGTCCACATTTCCAATCAATCAAAACACACCTTTTTAGAACTATTATAAACACTGGCGACCTCGTAATCGCTGTCCACGAACAGAATGTTCTCCGGTTTGAGATCCGTGTGCGTCAGCTTGTTGTCGTGAAGGAACAGCACACTGTAGATTAGCTGGTACGAGATGTGGCGCACTTGTTCTAAGGGGTACGGCTGGTAGTTGTTGTCTTTCTGTAATTGACAGAGTAAAAAAATTATATCAGAAATCGATTTAATACTTTGACGCGTGGAGATACGACGTGTATAATTAGAAGGCAAATTTCTGTACATGCGAAGTGTTAAATAAAGTGGTAATATGACTACTAAACACGTGGTAATGAATTTTCCATTACTCGCACTCTTTGCTGAATTCGTACTATCAAGAGGTTTACAGATTTGTCTTGAGCTGTACGTAATGGCAAATTAAAGGTGCGACGCAACGATGCAAACACAATAACACCGAGTTGGGTAAAGAAAGGGTTACTTGATGTAAGAATGCATAAAGAAAACATATTTTTGACGTAACAATAATATTTGGATCTGACAGCACTTTTGTTAATGAATCACTGTACAATAATATTCATGAAAACGAAATGAAAACGCATCCCTTGAGATATGAATCACTTCTATATCTTCGGTTTAAATATGTCATCTTTGTAGTAGCAAAATGACCGTTAGCTAATTTGAATATAATAAAGACAATCGAAAGTTGTTTTAACCACTGGTTAATGCATGTAGTATAATAAAATCAAATAGTTTAATAATTGTGAGCACTTCGCTCGTGTAATTTCCTCGAAATGTTTTCCTGCAGTCTCAGTCGGTAATGATTTATTCCAACACGCACGTGAGATGGGCTCTCTTCCAAAAATATATGGCAGCTTCATTTACATTATACAAAGTGAATATATGTATGGTTATTATATCACTCAAACCTAATATTATATAATATTGAGAGCTACTTACAAGGAAGTCAAACACGCTCTGTCCTAGCATCTCGAACGCGATGCACATGTGTCCGTGGTACTCGAACCAGTCTAACATTTTTACGCATAAACTGAAAAGTAAAAACAAAGGACATGTTATTTACACTCGAAACATTTTCTAGAGAAAGAAAAGACACTTAAGACGAGACCAGAAGTATAGACAACATAAATTCAACAAAACTTTCGGCCTAGTTGTTGCTTGTTAAATGGGCCAAGGCAACACATCAACGAAATAAACCTATTTAAAAGATTGTACATTAAAATAATAAAATAAGCGGGATTTCATAAAATTGTGCACCGATCTTGTAAAAAGGAATTCCGTTTTGATGATCCGTTATGGAATCAAGGGCACAGTTGCGTTTTTAAGAGTATTTAGAAAGTTGGGATGCGCGGCTGACGGTATTTTCAGTTTTTAAGTTGACATCGAGTTCTCGCTGGCGCGCCGCCAGCCAAGACTAAAGCGCGCGTATAAACGCACAAGGTCAAATATTGTTACATACGCCGGTGTCCTACTGGATGACTGGATAGCATAAAGATGTCAACAAGTAACCATCATCTAATGACAATTTAGTTAATTAATTGCCTCTTCCTACACTACAGGGCACAAATCAATGTGTAGCAATTTGACACATATAAACTTAATACATATTACAAATACAGCTTACTTACTTTTTACAATCGGGGTCAATATCAGCTAACTTTTCTAATACGTTTATTTCTAATTTTGCAGCATCTCTGTACTTCTCCACATTCTTGATAATTTTCAGAGCCATGCGATGCTCCCTGGAATTTATAATTAGTTTCATTATTTTTTGTCGCATAAACTCAGGAATTTCCTGGCAATAAGTATCGAATAGTGACGTGGTAGTATAAACAAATGAAAATAGATCTGAATAAGCAAAATAAAGTTCCTCTGCCAAGCAGCAACAATCAGCCCAAGATGTGAACGACACTAGGTACGCAAAACAGAATGAGTAATACGAACAAACTCGAAGCATAATTGCCAATAGCAAAATAATAATGTTGCCAATTTATTCCAGGAACAGTTAAAAAGGACCCTGTGAATAAAATGTTTAATATGAACCTTATTATATAAGAATACAACCGAGGACCTAAATTATTGTAGTGCAAGATTACTTTCCATATTATGTATGTATGATCATGATGTGAAAATTTGAAAAACCTATGTAAGTACTAATCGATATATATTCTTCTTCTAAATTTCATCAAGTATAGCAAATTTAAGGGGTAATCGGATTCTAAAAAAGTAGTGTAAAAAATTAAGTGTTACTTACATTTCTAAGTCCTTCACCTCGACCACCTTGCCGAAGGTGCCCTCGCCGAGTGTGTCGATGATTTTGTCTGTAACGAAACCGATGCAAAATGATTAATCACCGGTGCACAAAAACAAAGTCATGCCGGAATCAGCATTGGTTTTACAATACTCGTAATCTCAAAAGCATCAAGCGACTTTTCATCAGACAATGAGTACAGCAACCGCTGCCATTACTCCGACACGACTTTATGGACACCAACGTCGAAATTATTTTGTCTTCAAAAAAGAAAAGAAAAATCAGTTTCTTTCTCTCTCTGAAATCTTCAATGATTCACGATCGCTTGATTAAAGCTTGACAGTGAGAAGAACGAGCTTAACGGCTCTAGTATGTTATGGAACGTGTTTGGAAATTCGATTGTGTTATTGAGTGTTGTATGTTTGATGTATATATCAATTGAATTTGTATGGTGTGTAAACGAATGTGTACGGTTCTTTAAGTTATGTTGTGGACACGAACATCTCGCTCCCATGACATATCCGGGCCAGTACACCAGATGGCCGTCCTTGTCGTCCTTGACGGAGGAGCGTGCCCGGGAGCTCTGCAGGATGCACGGTGCAGGGAGCAGCGTCAGCCATCAGTCGTCGGGAGTGAGCCGCGACCGCGCCGCCGCCGCATCGCAGCCGACATCACGCCAACGCGCACCAGCCACATGCCACGGAGAGCGCCACGCGATCGCCACGACCCGAGTAGTGTTGTACCCAACAATCAAACAATGGAACGGTTGCCCGTCAGACAAGCGACAATTGGTAGGTGTGTCGTACATGCTGTTAGAGGGCAGACGGGTGGGCGCTGCGGCCGGGGCACTCGGCGGGCGTCCGAGCTCGGCCAGCCTCGGGCGCCCGCCTGCTCGCGCCTCAGTGGCCGGACTCGGGACGCGGACCGGGACTGGGACGGGAACGGATGCAGGAACTGGGACCCACCGAGGAAGTTCAGTCCACTGCTTTCTTTCGTCACTTTCACTATCTCACATACATTAGGTTGTTATAGGATAACAGTGTCCACCCGAACGTCTCTGATTACTTCTTTATCTAAATTACTAACAGTAGAAGAGGTAGATTTCAAACTTCGTTTACGCTTAGATCGCAAGAATATTTTGATACAAAAAAGTGACATGTTAGCCCTAAACACACGAACAAAAAAGTTAAAAACATGCACTATCATTGAATATAAAATATTTTTCCTGTATTGATAATCCGATGTCAACACTCTGTTAGTGACTGTTAATTTTGTTATACGAATTATAATTATAATGTGTCTACCCTCAAGTGGCTTTTAAACTCGTTTTTGTATGGTTACCGTAAAAAATTCAGACATCTATAGCTGCGTTCATTTTGTTTGAACACATTCCCATTATTTACACATGCGTTTACAACAAGTAGCACATATTTTGTGTAACATATTACAATTTTTGTATTATTATAAAATTAGCTACAATAATAATCTCAATGCTATAATATTTTAATTATATTTGCACAAGATAGAAAGGTAATAAGAAAATGACGGACCAGTGGTATGTTAGCGGCAATCACACAGAGGCGCAGGCTGTTAGCGTGTGCTTACAGGCGGCGTAGCGGCGCGCCTCAGGTGGTGCCGCGGCCGATTCAGCCGGTGGCGGCTGCGCAGCTCGGGCGGCAGCACCACCACGTCGCCGACTCCGATCGGTTCGGGTTTCCGTGCCGGGACTAACGCGTTAGCTTCGCCATTCGTTTCCTTTTCTACCATACGCCCGTACATTTCATCTAGATGTGCGTACTTCATAATGAGACTCTGTATTTCTTTTCTTCGCGTCTCTCTTTCGTTTAGAATTTGATCTCCGACAGGAGTTTTATCGTCATCGTCTTCATCGCTCGACGGAAAATAAATCTGTTTTTGTCTTCCGATTTCTCTGACGGGAGATGACGCTGGTGTTTTAGTTATGTTTTGTTTTTTGTTAGTTTCGTTTACGTTTTGTTGTGGTGGGGAGATCAAATCCCGAGTTCCGGGATTCATATTAATATCGACTGAGCGGAGTGAAAGCTTCTTCTGGCTTTGCACAGCACGAAGCGATCTACGTTGATGTCTACGGTAAATACTGTCCCTGTCTTTGCCAAAATGAGGTCGGTCTCTAAGAGGAACATCGTGTCCGCTCTTACATTCGTTTTTGTCAATTTGTTTATGATTAGAGGGTAGACGACGGTCAGTCGTGTTCCTGTATGGTGTTTTGTCCCTGGTCTTTTCATGCGAGTAATTGTTTCGTCTAAAAGAATTTTCCCCAAAAACAGCTGTCGTTAAACTTCTCATCAATCCTCTCGATATAGGTTCAGGTTCTAAAGTTTTGTCACGATCTTCTTTCTCTTTCCTAGCCCTTTCTTTTTTCTGATGTGCAATTCTATCGAGCACCGACGAATATTTGTCCTCTAATCTGCTACGTGTGCTGCCTAAGAATATAGTGCTGTCGACATTGTTATTAGGTTCTTTGAGTGTGTAACGTTTCGTTAATGGCGATGAATTATCTTTTACTTGTGCTCTGCGGAATGAGTCACTACGGGCGAGAGCGCTAATACCGGAGGAAGTATTCAGAGGCGAAGCGTCGAGCCGGGATTTCGACGAGCTCAGGTAACTCGAATACAAACGGTCATCATTCAACTTTCTTGACGTGGGGTTAGTAGTACTGGATGCGAACGATGCGTACGGGGAGATATGCCTATTGTTCTCGTACCGCCGTACGTTTGCTAATGCAGAAGTCTTACTAGAAAATAACTTATCATCGTATCTATTACGCGCAGCACTCAGTTTGGAATCAGCAATGGGATCAGTCTTTTCAGAAGGTCCTCGTCGAGTTAGTCGGTTGATTATGCTAGAGTAACCGTCCGACAATAGCTGACTGACGCTTGTGGTCGACGAGCGGTTGTAGCGGTGACGCCGTGGAGTGGTCGCGCCATTGCCGCTACTTGCCAGACTAGCCATTGTTTAACCGGCACAAATTGATGTCTACAAACACTTTTAACCAGGATACATCACATCGAAACGTCATAGTTTCACTTTTGATGGATTATTACTTCATCACAACATACTTGTGTTTGCACTGATACCGGACATTGGACTGGGACTATCTAGAGACTGAGAGCGTACCTAAGCGCGAACGAATTTCAGAAAGATCACTAGCGCAGGCGAGTGCGGCCGCCGGTGCCAAGTAATGGTCGCAGACTAAAAATATCGGCAACCCGTGGGAGCGCCCTCCCGCGCACTCCTGACTCGCGAGGTACGGTCGCGCGCATGTATCGTTCGCCGTGTTAGAATGTACTTTACTCATTTCACATTTCCCTAATTACCTGTCATTCGCCTAAACTGGGCTGTGAAGGTGTGACATATTCGTAAGTTCAACATTAAACAAATTAAAAAGCAATAAAACTATTGCGCATAAGGTATATTTTATAATTCCAATATTTTATTAGCTTAAAATTAATATGAAATTGGCGCCCACGCGTTTACGACACAGTTTTGGCAAGAATTTTGAACGAACGGATTTTACTATCGACGTCAGCATTTTTACGTTTTTGATAGGATCCTATTTCTAATTCCTGATGGTGAATATTGTGTACGTGGAAGTATATCGACATTGGTGGGCCGTACGCGTAGACCTTTCTCTGAACCGTGAGCTCGAGCGCCAAGACAATTCTGTCAATAAGCGGTAGGTAATTGGGTTAGTGGGCCGCGTGCGGCCACTACATGCTGCGCGTGAGTCGCCAAACTGACAGGTGGTAACCGGAGAAACTTAAAACGATTATTACGGATTATAGACATTTACTTAAAAATAAATTGAATTTGCGCAAATCAGCAGTTATTCTTCGTCGAGTAATATCCTAATAAATAGATAGAACTCCATAGAACGACGGCACTTGACTCATGTACAAGTATTAGTAACAGCAGTCGTGATAATTGAGCGGATGCGGGCTGGGAGACGCGTGACATCAAAAAGATAACACGGAACTGATTCAACAAATGTATTTATTACAGAACATAAGTTAACAAACGCATGAGCAAATGTCGTTGAATGATGTTTCCATTTATGATAACCAGCCAAACTTGACAAGTAAATTGACTTAGGTGAAGTTATTTTAAATTAACATAAAAAACTTCTAACCGTATTTGTAACAGAAAAAATGTAGAGCTGACTATAACTAATACATTTTATACTTAACAACACCGTGTATATCATAGAGTTCATAACACTGAATAACTGCCACGAGAGCTCTCCGTGCTGTCTCGTTATTATCATATTGCAAACAGATCCATTATTTAATTTGTCGACAAAACCATTATTTGTTTCAATGAAGAAACAAAATACTATTATTCATATGATAGTGACACAATCATCAAATTTCATTCATTTTTGTATCAGTAAGTGCCATGCAATTAAATTCGTTTTGCTATAGTAACAATTGTACAAGTTAACAGATAAGTTTTATGTCGAGTACTAAAATTGATTGTCTGGAAACGTTGCTTAATGCCAGTGTTGCGTTTTCGATAAAAGATCTTATATCAAATCTTGATAAAGAGCGCCGTTCCGAGGCAATACGCAAATGACTTGGTTATAATTTACTAACCTGGAACGACGGCTGAAAAGTGGAGGTAACATTTGGCGCAGCGGAAGCCAATGAAAATGCCTGGCGTTGTTTGCATACGATTCGACCTTGACGTCACTCTACTTGCATTCCAACTTTCTCTAGACATTTTTCGTTCAATTTCAACGAAATTCCGATATAATTACGGTGTCGATAAATTACTGGTAAACTTTAAAACGACTCATGCAAGCACGCGCATGTTGTAGCTGCATTTTTTACTTTATCAGCGAAGCACTGGTATATTTCAGTCGACATTTCTAATGCACAATACGAAATATACTTTCATATTGTGTCACTTACATACCTTCAGCAAAAAATTGTCAACTGATATAGGATAATTGAATTTGATTAACTCCTTGAGACTGTTCACAAAGTTGTATGTCTTCATCTTGGTGGCAGTGGTAAAAAGAGTAACTAACAAAAGCAACACTGACAAAAATGATTCATCAAGGTTTACTATTATTTCGCGATATTCGCCATTGGCATTATAACTATGGGAAAAGTTCGTTAACATCACGGTTTCACACGTAAAGCTCATGCTATACTGAACTGAACAGCTGTGCGCTTTATTATTCGACACGAAAGCAGGTAAAAAGGACCCTTCTACTATTGGCCAACCATCCACCGAACAAGCGCTTTAAAATTAGGGATTGTTATTACATTTAGTACGTGGAGCATAAAAATGAGTATGAAAGCCACTAAAGGGCGTTCAAACACGTTAGAGTTGACAATCGGATTTGAAAAAGTAGGTATTATGAAAAATTTACTTTGTTCTATACACAATACTTGCAAAAAGGCTAATGATATTCGGTCAAAATAATATTGAAGAGTATATAATTTGTAGTCGCATATTGTGCTTTAACGACACTGACCTTACTTACAAGTAGATTGCACGCACCATCTATATCAAAAACAATTTCTGCTACTACTGTAAGTAGTTTGGAAATGTCGTGCCACTTGCATCCATGCTCCTTAAGAAACCGTTTGTATAGCTCATAAAAGGAGGCAAATCTTAACGGCTCCCTAATGTGATCCGATCTTATAGTCAATTCCCCCATTGCACTGCACTATTTGTATTGAACTGTAATATTTACAATAACACTATCGATAAAGTGACATAAGCGGTGTGGGGCGAGTGGACACAACGCCGGTTCACTAACAACTGTATCGCGTTAGCTTAGTGTAACACGCGCGGCTGTTCAAATGAAACTTGTATTCAAACAAACGTCGCACTTGATACTAACTAAAAAGATAACTCATATTACAACACCGTTACACTGAATTCAACACAGAAGGCGACAAAACGATATTTGTGAAATATATAAATTAAATGTTTACATATACTTCACGTCCGATCCATGTCCAGTGGAGCAATGAGACGCTTCGGCGGATTTTAATTAACCATGGCAAGCACAAATGGAGCAAACAATTTATGGCAGCAGCTTTCGGTTAAAACAGGATATATCTGCGTAAAAGCGACTTGCAACTTCTTTAATTGTAACGATTCAATACAACTAAACATATAGAAAACTACCACCGAAATCGAAAACGATAAATAAGAAAACTATGGAACTAAAATACTTAATATATTCATAAATAATTAGTTAAAACAAAACGCATAAGTATAAATAGTAGTAATTATTTATTTATTTTCCTGTAAAAGAACAAATTTTACTGCCGTATCCGGGAACACATCGCTTTAAGATATAACTAAAGAAGATATTATAGAAAGAAGACAAGTACAAACATTGAGGTGATTCAAAACAGCCGTTTAAATATTTAGTTGAAATTAGCCCGTCATCAATTTTGTTAATGAAGGCGAATGACGCGGCTGGGCAATATGGGGCATATCGGCAAGGCAAGGTCGGCCGGAAGGAACTGGGCATTACCAAATAGATAGGTGGGCAACAGCAAGGTGGGGCGGAGCGCATTTATCAGGCCCTATCTCGGCTACCACGCCACTCGCGTTGTTTTAATGATGCGCGATACCAACACTCAGCGTTATGTATTGCGCACTTGACTTCTAACATCACCTTAATCACCAGGGAATTGCTATCTCTGACTAAATAAATTCGATTGAATTCGGCCAATTACAAAGTAAACGAGAGCATGTTGAGTGATTCATCGAATTGATAATAAGAAAAACATTGTTCTCAGAAACATTGATGACTATGACGGCAAACAAAATTTTCATCGATTTAATTAATATGATTTTTTTATTATGATATACCTACCTAGATGAAAACTGCGATGTACACCGGTCTAAACCGGAAAACAAAAACATAATCATTGTAATATTTCTGTTCTGATTGTTACACATGTGAACGCTTTAATTATTGTTTCAGTTTTAATTATTATTCTTAGATATTTTGGTATGACTGAATAATAGTTTATTTGATAATTTATATTTAGGATCTACTAACTTTGTACCCTGCGGTTGCTTTGAAGAAATAGTTACTTAACAAAAAGGCCTGTTTTGTTGCTTGTTTTTCATTACATTATAATATACATTATAACTTATATAGATTATAACTTACAATATTGTTCTGTGTAGCCAATATTTCATTAATTCCATTTATTCGTTATATAAATAATATTGAAATAGGTAATATCTTTAAAAACTTTTTAAGATCATTGTTTCTTTGTTGGTCGTATATTTGCGCCAAATGTACATACATACATATTACTTATTTAGATACACCGCAGTCAATAATCAGATGCACACGATTTGTACACGCAAGCGCTACAATAAAATTCTTAGTAAACTTTTTTATTATTGACGCTATTTGTTCTGTCCTCATTCTAGTGATACTAGACTTTGGGGAATATATTCGCAATTCTAGTCTGATCAGGATTGAACAGGTTTCAATTCAAAGATTTCGTAGTATATACAATTCAAAACAATTGAGTGAACGCGAGGCCTGATGTGTTTCAATTAGGTGTATGTGTTCGCGTGGTTCTCTAGTTCGTTTCGCATTGAACGGATTGTCTTAGATCACAATAAATCGCTATGGCAGTTGCTTGGTTGATATTTTCTTCTGGTTAACTCTTAAATAACTAAGTGTGCATTAAGTCAGTTTGAATGGATGCAAATGCTTGTTTGATTTAAAAATGTTGTTGCATTTGTGTCGTCGCAACGATCCATCGTAGTCTGGTAATCAAATGGTATTCCATGAATTAGCATTTCGTCGGGGATAGTGAAAACCCGCGTATTGTAGTATTGGTAAAAAGAGCGTATCTGCATCAAACCAAATTTCACAGGAGAGGGATTTAACATTACTACTTTGTTATTTCCATGGCTACGCCTTTTATTTTTGCACAGTAAGCATTAATCTTGTCTACGGACTGGTAACAATAGATTCCCGTAAATCACGCTAATTTGGTTGCCACGGCATTTACGCAATTTGATTTGCCGACTGAATTACCGAAATGGAGACTCATAACCAAACTCTAGTTACTCATAATTGCACTATCCCCGACCATTTGTTGAGTAAAGTAACATCCCGCGATTGAGTGGGCGGCGCGCGGCACTGTTATCACAACATCGCGTTCGCCTAGGTGAAGGTGATCATCGCCGAACTATTTTTGTGCGCATACGTTCCTTTACAACGGCTTCGCGCCATCTAGCGGACGCTATTAGAATTGCACAGCTTACGCCAGCTGCTGATACTATTTTCAGCGATCATATTGTTTACTGCCCATAGGTACATAAAATATTTCATTGTTATTTTACATGCGGTTTAATATAGGTCGATAGCTTTTCACATGGGTTTAATTGGATGATGAACTACAATTAATAATTTTAATTATTAACATTGAAACAAAAGACATATTATACAGAATTAAAATATTTGATGGAAGACATAAGGAAAATGCAAAAGTTAAATAAGACGTAAACGAAGTTCAGTACTTAGTTCAGATTTTAGTGGACATTTCATATTATTTCACTTTCTGTCCTATAGTGTAGTTTTTCAGCAGTTATGTATAAAAACAATGATTCCTTGTTCATAACTAAAAGCGTATAATAATAACAATGTCCTATAAAAAGTACATATTATAGTTTCAAATTATTAAATAAACCCTTGACCTAATAATATAACCTAAAATAGATGCGCATTGCTCCCGATACACACACGCTGCTAACGCATGGTGTAGTTGGTTTTATTAAACAGTACATTTAATTTTTCACATACAAATGAAATACAATAAAAGGGAAATTTCGGAATTCTTCATTTACAATTTATACATTTCCTCTACACAAAAAAAATGACTGACCTCTACTTCCTGTGGTTTAAGTTGTGAAACAGGTACAGGCATCTTAGACGAGACAAAAGAACATGATGGTTGGGGATCGGT